AGTGGCTGGTGGGTTTGAACCGCCAGCCTTCTGGTTAGCAGTCAAGTGCCTTAGGCACTATGCTACCAGAGCTCCTTTAGACTCCATTTAGCAGCTATGTTTTTGGAGTCCCTGTGTGCTTTCCATCTGTGAGAGCAAGCTTTCTTCTTCATAAAATAGTAACTTTTGTTTCTCTGGACCTAATCACATCCTAATGCTGTTCACTGAACAAGAACATAAGTGCAGCAAACAACAGAGAAGGAACTGAGTTACCCACTAGACAGATGTACCCACTGATGGCGTAGCACACGTCCTGTGGACACGTGAGCACGGAGCTGTGGGCAGTTTGTATCTGTTGTTCGGTGCTGTCGAGTCAGCTCAAGCTCAAAGCCACCCTTTGTACACAGAACGGAACACTGTCTGGTCCTGTGCCGGCCTCATGATCCTTGCCATAACCGAGCCCATCGTTGCAGCCATGCCGATCCATCTTGTCGAGGCCTCAGCGAGATTTTTTGTCTTGAGCCATATTTATTCACTCGTTCATTTGTAAACTGCATCGAGCCCCTGCCTCGTGCCAGGCACAGCTCAGCTTCTTAACCACAGGGACCCAGCATGGGGTGAGGCGGCTCCTTGCTGCTTGATGGACGGGAGGCGGCAGCCACGCCAAGTGCCTGAAGCCAGTGATTCGGGGCCAGAGCTGTTGGTGTTCTTTGACCATCCGGAGCCGCCGAGTGCCTCTCTGGCAGCGGTTCCCAACCCTCGAGCCTTGGTTTAGTGGAGACCTGAGGCCCAGCTGGGGCCTAGTGGGGCCCCCTCCAAGGTGGAATCCCAGGGACAGGCCCAGCAGCCTCTCTCAAGCACCCCTCACTGTCCCCTCCTTGGAAAGGAGTGTTTGTAGCATGGTGTGGCAGGCGGGGAGGGTTTGCAAAGGCCTGCAGGGAACGGGGAGCGTGTGCTCAGCCTGACCTGGTGCCGACAGGAGCGCTGGCGTGTGAGTGCCGAGCAGTTCAAGGCTGAGTCCGCCCAGCGCTCCCTGGAGGAACAGAGGAAGGCCATGGTGCAGCAGACAGCCATGGAGAGGGAGGAGCTGGAGCGGGCCAAGGTGAGTCCCGCCAGAGCATGTCCCCGAGCCCCCTGCCCGCCCGGCCTCACGCCATCCCGCTCCCCCCCCAGAGTGCCCTGCTGGAGGAGCAGAAGGCTGTCATGCACAAGTGCTCGGAGGAGCGGCGGCGCCTGGCCACCGAGTGGGCCGAGTTCTTTGCACAGCAGAAGCTGAGTAAGGAGCGGGCCGAGCGTGAGGCTGAGCGGGCACTGCAGGCAGGCAGCCAGCGGGAGGACACCCTCGTCAGCCTGGCCAAGGTAGGGCCTGGAGGGCCTGGGGACCCTGCCCCATAGGAACCCCTGTCCCGCCCACTCTCTGCAGATGAGCACTTGGCAGTTGGTAAAGAGCGTGGCGCTGATGGGGGTGTAGGGACGGAACAGTGGTCGCAGGGTGGTCCAGCCACCTTTTCTTGTCATTTGCGCTTTACACACGTTTCCACAGTGAATTCCTCAAATGGGATTCAGACACTTGAGTAAGGGAGAAGTGGAGACCTGCCGTGGTCTTACGGCCTCGCTTGGCCAGGGCCCCCAGCCCTCCTCTGAGCCCCTTGCCACGCCAGCTCCTGCCCAGCATCAGGGTGGACAGAACCACAGAGACACGGACGTTGGGCGGAGGGCCGCCTCAGAGCTGAGCTACAGGGGGGACCCACGTCAGGAGGGCTCCTCAGAGCTGAGCTGCAGGGGGGACCCACGTCAGGAGGCCTCCTCAGAGCTGAGCGTGCAGGGGGGACCCACGTCAGGAGGGCTCCTCAGAGCTGAGCTGCAGGGGGGACCCACGTCAGGAGGGCTCCTCAGGGGGGACTCACGTCAGGAGGGCTCCTCAGGGGGGACTCACGTCAGGAGGGCTCCTCAGAGCTGAGCTGCAGGGGGGACCCACGTCAGGAGGGCTCCTCAGGGGGGACTCACGTCAGGAGGGTTCCTCAGAGCTGAGCTGCAGGGGGGACCCACGTCAGGAGGGCTCCTCAGGGGGGACTCATGTCAGGAGGGCTCCTCAGAGCTGAGCTGCAGGGGGGACCCACGTCAGGAGCTCTCGGCCAGCTGAGGCTTGCAGCTGAGGCTTCCTGGGGAGACGCAGCTCTGCTCTCTGTCTGCAGGAGCAGGCCGAGCTCAAGATCCGGGCCAGCGAGCTCCGGGCCAAGGAGGACCAGCTGGCGGCCGAGCAGGAGGCGCTGGAGCGGGAGCGGCAGGAGCTGCAGCTGGAGAAGGAGCGGGTCAACGCGGCCGCCTTGCGGGTCCGGCTGCGCGCCGAGGAGGTGGAGGGCATGAGCAAGGTGCGTGCACTGCCAGGGTGCAGCAGGGGCGCCTGAGCCCGGCCACCCTCGTGACCTCACGGCTTCCCTGCAGGTGGCCTCGGAGAAGTATGAGGCTGGGGAGCGGGCCCTGTGCGAGGCCCGGCAAGTGCAGTCGGAGCACCAGGCGCGGCTCCGGCGGGTGCAGCAGCAGCAGGAACGGCTGCGGCAGCAGGAGCAGCACATGCACCAGGCAAGGCGCCTCTGAGGCTCCGCCCCCACCCCCGTCCCTCCCCGGCCTCCTGCCCTCACAGTTGACCTTCTCTCCTGGGACGTGGACAGGAACATCTGAGCCTGGCCCAGCAGAGGCTGCAGCTGGACCGCGTCCGACAGGACCTGCCCTCCAGCCTCGTGGGGCTCCTTCCCAGGCCGCAGGGCCCGGCAGCCCCCAGCCTGAGTGGTAAGTGCTACCGAAGGACGAAGGACGCACACAGGCCCAGCGGCCTGTGGTCGGAGCGGCAGCCAGGGCACCTGCCCGTGTCTGGCTGCAGGCTGGAGAGGCTGCTGGGAGCTCTGCACTGCCTTTTACATAAGAATGCATGTCATTTACAGAGAAATCAGAAATGGGGGAGCTATTTAAAAAACCTCTCACCCTCAAGTCTAGAGAGAACGCTGGTTAACGTTTGGTGCATGATGTTGCATTCTTGCATGTGTGTTTTTAAAAACAAAATGAGGTTGCAGCATGTGATGATTTATAACTGGAGTTTTTCATTCAATAATACATACGAGTCCTTAGGGGGTGCGTGGGGTTCGCGTGCTGCTAACAAAAGGTTGGGGGTTCAAGTCCACCCAGAGGCAGCACGGAACACAGGCCTGGCCGTCTGCTTCCAAAAACTCATCCACTGAGGACTCTGTGGGGCAGAGTTCTCCCCTGATGCCAGGGCCGCCATGAGGCAGAGCCCACAGGATACACGCAGAACACGGTTTCACGGCGGCAGTTAAACGTTCGATCGTATTCTTAACCAGTGTGATTTCCTGCCATGGTTACTGCCGGCTGTCTCTCAGAGATAAGCAGCAGTCAGTGGAGACCTGCGTGTGTCCATCTCACACCCCTGCTGATATCTGTGGAAGACCTTTCTAGCCGGGGGTTAGCCAGGGAAAGCTTGTGAGCATCTTAAAAGCTTTAAGAGCTGTGGCCACGTGCCCTCCAGAGAGTTTATCTGGGTGACCCCCACCCCACCCCCCACCCCCTGTGGGAGAAAGCCTGAGGGAACCAGTGCGACCGTCTCGTCCCTGTCTCACCCCTCAGCCTCTCCAGTCCTCAGGACCTCTGCTCCCAGCAGCCCTCCAAGCAGCCGGCCACCGGACAGCCTGGGCCCCTCCCTCCTCCATGCCAGGCTGGTGCTGCTGAAGCACACGGCCGAGAAGGTGAGTGTCTGGGGTCCACTCCTGCTGGACGCAGGGAAGGCCTGTGCTCGCTCTGGTGACCAGCGCGGGGGGGCCCAGTGCCACCTCCTGGAGGGGAACAGCAATGCAGATTGCTGAGGAGGAAGTGCTGGGACCGGCCTGTGGGCCAGGTTCCGTACGGAGCAGTTGTCCCCTGGCAGCCACCCCGTAATGGCCGTGGTAGTAACCACTTCCTGAGCACGTCCTGTGCACCAGGCTCTGCCAAAGTCCCGCCCATAGGTAATGTCACCCCTACTTCACAGACAAGGAAACCGAGGCTCAGAGAGGCAAAGTCACGGCTGGGAAGAGCACACCTCAGGGGTGGCGTTGCCAGGACCTGGAGCCCTGGGCTTCCCAGAGCCAGGGAAGGAGTGGGAGGGGGGCTCCCAGGAGGACCCTGAGCGCCGGCCTTTGTGGAAGCATGTACAGGGGTCCTGGGAGGTGACCACTCACTGAGGCCGCCTTTTAGGACCGAGACTTCCTGGAGGATGAGCAGTTCTTCCTGGAGACCCTGAAGAATGCGCCCTACAACGTGACATCACATCCTGCCCGAGGCGCCCTGGCTGCCCCTCAACCCAGGGCATAGGCCCAGGACTCACCCACTGCCCCCGGCTGCCCATCACCTCCACAGAGGCGGCACTGTCTTCCACCAGGGGCCCAGGGAAGGTTCCAGATGCCCAATGACAGCTCTTCCTGTGACAGAGTGCTGATTCTTTCTTTCTGAATATCTCTGCTGTGGCTCCGGGACTTGGTGCAACAGCCTCTGTGGATGGCGTGGTGGCAAGGGCTTTGCTTTCTCCTGCCCCACAGCCATCCAGCTCACGTCCAAGGGTCTGATCGCTGCCTGCGCTCTGTGGATGCTCCCCCCTCCATGGGCGCATGGTCTGAGATCCTCCCCGTGGCTGGGCCTGAGGAAGGCCCCCCCCCCGGGCTGCATGAGAAGCCTTCCCCTCCTACCCCCACCCCACCCTGACGCTGGCGGCAGAGCCCACGGGGGACTCCTCCTAGTGGCCATGTGGAGGTGTGCAGCCATTGTGAAGGGCTGTGAGGCGGGAGGCATCGTGGCAGGGAGCGTGTGTGACGTCAGAGGTGCCTGCACAGCACCCTCTTTGTCCCAGCACTCCCTGAGGAGTCGACTTGCACAGCACAGGCTCTGGAGACGGGGTGGGGACCGTGGGACGATGGCAGGGGCTTGGGGGGCACAAGGAGAGAAGGTCTCTTCGGGCTCCTCACTTCCGTGAAACTGTGGCATGCTGGCAGTGAGAGTGGGCAGCCTGAAAACTGTGCCCTGGGAAGAACAGCCCAGCGTGGGGACTGGGGGGCAGGGCCTGCTGCCCAGGCCACTGCCACCCACAGGTGCCTTCTCAGTTCTCCGTGTCTGGGCTGTGTGTCAGGCTGGGACAGGAGGACTGGCAGTTACCCTAGTGGACCTACACACAGACCAGCTCAAGCAATAGAATCACCATTAGTCCCAAGCAGCTTCCACCAGGGACCAGTTCATCCCTCCCAGAAAGGAAAACACCATGTGCCCTGGCAGGCGGGAGGTGACATGCCTCGTGGGGTGGGAGCGCTCAGGGTTCAGAGTGGTCTTACTTATTTACCAACAGTTTACAGCTTTGTTTCGGGCCATTAAGTTGCTGTAGTCATAATGATGAATGCTACAATTCACCATGTCTCATCAGTTTGTAAGGAGTCCTGGTGGTGCAGTGGTTAAGTGCTCAGCTGCAAACCAGAAGGTTGGTGGTCCAAACCCACAGCCACTCCATGGGAAAAAGGTCTGGCAATCTGTTTCCATTAAAGATTTAGGGCCTGGGAAATCGATCCTACAGGGCAGTTCCACACTGTCCCACAGGGTCACTGTGATGATTAACATTGGTCAGCCTGGCTGGGCTGTGGTTCTCAGTGGTTTAGGGTTAGGATGTCATTGTCCTCCATGATGAGATATGATACAATCACTTCCATGAGGAGATGTGTTGTAAGCAGCCAGTCAGTTGAAAGGGAGTGTCCTCAGGGGTGTGGCCTGCTTCCAGTGTCTATGGACCTCCTGGCAAAGCTGTGTGGCTTTTTGCCTGATCCAGATCCAGCACCTGGCTCGTCATCTGCCCTTTGGTTCTTTGGACTTGAGCCAGCGGCCTGCGGTGTTGCCTACTGATCTTGGATTTGTCAGCTTCCACAGCCTGGGCGCTGGCAGCTTGCCATCTGCCCTGCTGATCTGGGGTTCATCAACCCCTGCAGTTACATGAGCCAGGAGGAGCCTCCATCCTGACATCCGTGGACTTGGGACTTGTAACCTTTTATAACCTTATGAGCCATTTCTTTGCAATAAACTTCTTTATATATAAGATACATATATATATGTCCTTTCTTTTTTTTTCTTGTCTTTTTAGTGATCTCTTGCTTTTCTTCATGGATAATGTTCTTGATATCTTCCCATAATTCATCTGGCTTTC